CTGGCCAGAGAAAAAACACGTAATATGTAGCCAACATTTGGAAGAAGAATGTTTTCAAGATGACTTGGATAATAAACACCAGATACAGCACTGGGACTTGATCAACAGCCGATATCGCACCGTGACGTCACAAACCAGTAGGTGGCAGTAGTGTTCTTTGACAAACATGGATGCCTCCAGTAAAGCACATTCAGATGAAATGCCTCCTAATTAAAAACACTTATCATTAATTGAACAGTATGTTATAATTTCATATTTAAAGTACTTTCAGAAGTTTGAATTCTGAATATGACCGAACTTTTCCTTTAACTATTTGACTCTGACATGTCAGAATTGTAGCAAACTGGTTTGGATAGAGGTTTTAAATGACCATCAATTGAAAAAGGTTTGTTCAGAAACGGCGAAATCAGAGGAGTTGGACTTTTTGTTTTGTCTAAAGTTGCTCAGACCTTACATTTTTAAAAACCAGTGAACTAATTGAAATGCTAGATTTGTGGCAGAAGTCTAGCTAAAATGGGTGGATGTTACCATTTATAATGAAAGGACTCCACAAATATCCAGACAGAATTATGCCAGAAGGTCATTGGAGCCTAAATTTAGCCAAACATCCATACAGATTTATTTTGTTTTACATTCTTGAAGTTTAACTGGGTGTAAACTTCTGACTGGTCCCGTAGACGTAACGAGGCAGCATCAATAAGGAGAAAACTTCTGCCGCTCTGATTTCTTCGTACCAGAAGTCGGCATTTTTGCAGTGTAAGCGGCTAAACCCTGAGTTAGGCCAGAAGCTGCTGCTGGATGGACGGTCAGGAGAGGAAGAGTTTTCATGCCAAGCAGGCTGGAAACAGGGAGGGCGTAGTGTTGGCTCTGGATGCCTGGTAAGGTGGAGGGGGAGTGGACGTTAATGGTGGAGGGAGTGGGGGTGTTGGCCGCCAGGACAGCCATGGAGGTGGCGGCAGAGGAGGCGGTGGGGACAGTCTGAGAGAAGCTCATGTTGAGGTCAACGGGGGTCGCAGAGGATGCAACCTGCATGGTGTATTTAGCCATCTCCAAGCTGGGGAGTCGGGAGGATGATGGAGGGGTAAGAAAGATGGTAGAAAATTAAAAAATGGAGGAAAGGTTGGAAAAAGAAGGGAAGGAATGGGAGACATAAGAAAACACAAAAATCAAATAAATGGGTAAATAAAAAATGAATATAAAGAAAGCAGTGAAGATGAGGATTTTTTTATGCAGTCAAGAGAACAGGGCAGTGAGTTGGAACAAATCCAGCCTCACCCAGAAACACAACAAATCTGCCCTTTACAGCAGCATGCTGTTTGGATGTCTTATCATCAGGCTGCAATGTGAAGCACCGCAGGACGTGGCTGCCCTGCGTAATGTCTCACCTGGCGTTGATGAGGTACTGGGCCACGCCGATGCTGGCCGGCGAGCCGCTGATCGTGACTTGGCGCATGGCTGAGCCATCAGTGGCGCTGGCAATTTTGATGTGAGCTCCAGAGACCTGGCGAATCTCATTGATCTTGCTTCCTTGTCTTCCAATTATGCAGCCAATAAACTAGAGGGAAGAGATTGAAAGCATGTAAATAACAAAAGCGCTCATATTTCAGAGCTGTCCAGGAATTAGATCTGACATCAAAAGAAAGAAGAAGCTGCTGCAGCGACAGCAGAAACATCCCTGCCTGTAATATTTTAGTAACAAAGAATGTATTCATCTAAGTTTATTTCCTAGAAATGAAGTAGGATTTGATTGCAAACTGGTGGGATCGCAGCAGTGGAGGATTGACTTTTAATCTCAGCTAATTCTCAGCGTTTCTGTGACTTTGCTCATTTGTTTTCTACTTAAACATTTTAATGTGATGGTCTGTAAATAGAGTAAAGCAGCGTGCTCTGTCTACCAACCAGCACCTCTGAAACTCAGTAATTACCATGTCAAATCTTTCTTGTTTGTTCTATGCGTGGTGTTGACTGACAATTCACAATTTTAGGGAAAGGTTACTTGCTTGACTCTTTCATGCTTCTGAGTCGGTTGCCTGGTAACAACAAGACTCAAGAAAGACAGCATTCCAGCTTGGAAAATGGTCGGACAAGTGCTTTGTTGTTTTTGCATTTCATTAAACTGACACCTATAACAAGAAGAGCAAGATCAGGGTTGAGTGGTCTTTGTTTTTAAACTTTAAGTCTTTAGTTGGTGGCTGCCTGCAGCTGATAACATGACAAGAGTGTCAACATGAATGTAAGTTTAGTTTTCCATTATCTGATTTGCATCCCTTACTGATTTTACACAGGTTTGAAATCATTGCAGATATTTTTTTAACCTCTCCCAGGGCCAAAATTACACATACAGGCTTAAATATAGTTGTGCTTGAAAGTTTACAAAAGCCTTCCACAAAAAAAGACAAAAACAAGGCAAAAAAAATCAGCTGCCAGTGTAATAAATCGAAATTGAAAAAGTAACAAGAAATAAATAATCTAAAAATGGAAATATAAACACTAGAAGTTCCAGAGATATGAGAATTTTCGTCAATCCCCCCAACAGTACTTCACAACTCGTGGAGAACCATTCCACCCCCCTTCAGTTTCAGTTTTAGCTCAAGCCTCTGCTATTTGTAATGAAATATAACTAGGTCTACGTCATCTATGGAGGATAAAAAGTGCCGAAATTAAATAAATTACTACAGCATTAAATAAATAATTAAATGTGTCAATAATTAATTAAATGTGGAATTAGATAAATAAATGTGTCATTCATTAATTAAAACCACGTCACTAATATAAAGTGCCACAATTAAATAAATAAATACAGCATTAAATAAATAATTAAATGTGTAAATCATTACATAAAT